CCGCTCCGGGGGCTGCCACGTAGCAGAAGCTGCTCGTGGAAAAAGAGGCTCATTATTGGTCTAAACCTGCCTTTATTATGACTGAACGTGATAGAATCAAAAAATTATCTCATATCATCGCCCTGGTCAAGCCACTGCACTATGGGGTTATTTCGTTTTCAGAGGGTTTGTGTTAGCCCCATGGCGGACATTGAACATCCCAATTACCCAGAGTTCTTTCTAACTGCGGGCCTGAAAAGGACATCAAGCGATCCGATCCGAGTCGCTAGAGGGCTCCTTTGTCGTCCGTCCTGAGGCGCCTTCATCCATCCTCTCTATAACCACTAACTACAACCCATCTGCACTTATGATCACATTCTCTTGCACGGGCCGTCACACACCACGATGCATTGACAGCGAGGCATTAGGTAAGACATTTTTTGTGACAAAAATTTGAAGGTCAGATCCCTTAGCGGCACCCACTCCCAGAGGGTCGCTTCAGTCTGTGAACGACCTGTTGTCCCTGGATATCTTACAGATCACACTTTTTCCTATGTGTAATATAATATGGTGTCAGTAGGACGATGATGGCGCCAGTATGACAACGGGACCTAATCCAATCCATGGGCTGCATTTGAGGTCATTTATTAGTTTGAATGCTTGCATGTGTTAATGCACCTCAAAATGGACAGTGTTACTAAATGACGTCACCTAAGTAGGTACCAGTTACCATGAAAGCAAATTTATTGCGTGCAGGTTTAGGGGGTGTTTCAAGCAGCAGTAATAACACAGTATGCTCAACAGTGAGGTGTGCTAGTTGTATACGGCTACTCACCTAAAAATTAGCATTTATACCGTTATTTACCGTTTACTTGTTATTTGGCGCAGTCCAACTCTAGCCATGTGTGCGACTACCGACGTCCCACGCCGCCAGCGAGCGAAAGCCCGTCACCGTTGCCGTGCCAAGCCGTGTCGTTAACGGTCTCAAATGTCGATTACGGCAAAAGAGGCCATCGGTTTTCAAAAGCTTCAATGGTAATAACAGCCTAAAAATTGAAGAAGGGGCTGTTATGGGGACTGTCTATTAATAGTTAATACTGACAAATAACGAAGCAGATCGAAGCACGGAACTTGCTGCATAGCTTTGAATTGGGCTAATTTACCGAAAAGTCGATTGAACGCTCAGACGATATGTGAGCACAGTTCGAAACTAAGTATGTACAGTCAGTCTTGAAAGTACCGAGCAGTAGAGCACTTCACGGATAGGCTTTTTAGGATCCGGCCCGGCCCATATCCGGCAAGTCATATCCAGATCCGCCCATTATCCGCCTTTCTTTGAATATCAGAATCCGGCCCACCCATGGCCCGTATTGCAGCCAAACTTCCAAAAAATATCCGTAATAATCCGTTTCACCAATAACTGGTTTCACCCAAAACTGGACTAACAAATTCAATCTAAGGGACCAGACAGACATACAGATACATCTCATAGACCATCATGGTTCCAAAAACCATGCATACATTGCATACATTATCCACTTGAAGACAAGTCTTGTGACAAGTGAGTGTCATAAAATGATGCCTATTACTTTAATCAAACCTCTGCTGCCGCTTAACACATTAGGTTAATTTTTAACTTCAATGTTGAATGTTAAAATTTTGATCCGTTTTGATCCGGGTTCAACCTTCAATTCCCAAATCCGGCCCGCCCATATCCGTTCTTTTTGAACAAATTTAGAATCCAATCCTATCCGGTCCGCGGATTTATCCGTGGATAACGGATTTATCCGGCCCATGAAGTGCTCTACCGAGCAGGTGGATCCATAAAGCCCGACTGAGGTAGTGCTGCTAAAATCACTGAACCAGTTGACCTGGAGGATTGACAAGGATGTCCACGTTCGGCGACTCAAATTTACAGCTCTTACTCCGTTGGGCTTGACGGATCCACAGCACCGATGATGTGCGGTTCTTTCAAGACTGACTGTACATTACTTTTTCTAAGCAAACATGATCCACTATACTTTGGAATACTTGCAGGATACTTGCCATGATAATCCATGCCGTGCCTCATCGATGACACGCATGACCTGCAAACTTCACGTTGCAATGCAATGCTGTCAATGTCAGGTATTGATCATTGCTGGCACGAAAGTGTTGCATATGCTCTTCATCGCGTTAATGACTCCGTGGCCGTATGAAGGTTGGACTGTTGGATGTTCTGCACATATTCACCGGTGTAAATATCTTTCGTTATATGCTTGACTAGCAATTTATATGCAACAAGTTATATATATATATATATATATATATATATATATATATATATATATATATATATATATATATATATATATATATATATATATATATATATATATATATATATATATATATATATATATATATATATATATATATATATATATATATATATATATATATATATATATATATATATATATATATATATATATATATCGAGGAGTATCGAGCAAAACCACAAGAAGATCACCAACGCTCATTACGCTATCGTGTTTGACAAAAAATGTATTGAAGATGGACTGCTCCCTAACTTCACAAATATATATATATATATATATATATATATATATATATATATATATATTATATATATATATATATATATATATATATATATATATATATATATATATATATATATATATATATATATATATATATGAGTGAAATTGGGAAGCAGGTTTTCACGAATACATGTTTCAATGAAAATGACAGCGTAACGGGCGTTGTAACAGGAAGCCCTCTGACACTGGTCACTGCCTGAGCGGGGCCAGTGAATGTCCCGATAGATATAAGGAAAGTGTTATTCGCTCCTACGTTAACCGCGCCATCAAACACTGCTCCTCTTGGGCACTTATGCACCAGGAGCTGCAGAGAATCAGACAGATTCTTGTTAACAACAAGTACACGTTAAGTGACATTGACCAGGTCATCAAACGTCAAATCCACAAACATCTCTCGCCCACTCATACTCACGCCAGTGACGAAGCACCTCAAGAGCTGCGTCTCTTTTACAAAGGCGGCATGTCATCAGCCTACAAAAAAAGACGAAAAAGTGCTACGTGACATTGTACACAAAAACTGTACTCCCATTAGGCCCTACAACAAACTCAACCTCACCATCTACTACCAGTTACGTAGCACGTCACAAATGATAATGACTAATGATCTCGCGCGTGACAACAGTGACTTAAAGGCCACAAATGTAGTGTACGAATACCATTGCCCTGTTGGCGACTGCGTGCGCCAGAAGAATTCGTCATACATAGGCTACACCACCACCACGCTGTCACGCCGAATCACAATGCACTTGCAGAACGGCGCTCCTGAAAAACACACAAGAACAAACCACGGCACCACACTCACACGTAGCATGATGGTCACAAACACCCACATCATAGCTAGATGTAACACCAAAAAGAAACTCACAGTCTTGGAAGCAGTCTTCATCAGAGATAGAGACCCTCTCATAAACAGACAGATGGATATGAAAGGGTCACTCTCGCTCTATGATGGACGGCCCCTAGCACCAAGGTTTTAGGAAGGCTTAGGATCAGATATGAATGCAAATGAGAATGATTGTCATCTCGATTGAATGGTTATTTGTGTTAAAGATGTTGATGGACGATTGTGGTAAAGATATTTATGAACGATTGTATGTACGTTAATGACATGACGGACCGGTAGAATTTGTTCTTGATACCGCAGTGTGGAAGTGTAAGTGTAACCGGAGGTGCTACTGCTACAATTGCTTGCTCTCGTTGCTGTTTTGTTTAGTTCTAGGTCACTGAAGAAATGCAAACCTGTTATCTAGCGACGCACGATCCGAACCATAGATGTACTTTTTTCTGTTTTTGTGCCTTATATGCATGTCTGAAGATGTTAACGGATATGTTGACGAAACGTTACCTGGCAATATAGGCACTATTTTACATGAATTTTCCTTAGATGATCGAAAAACTGTGAGAAGCCTAGAGAATCTTGGCAAGAAGCAAAACAACGCCCGTTACGCTGTCATTTTCATTGAAACATATATATATATATATATATATATATATATATATATATATATATATATATATATATATATATATATATATATATATATATATATATATATATATATATATATATATATATATATATATATATATATATATATATATATATATATATATATATATATATATATATATATATATATATACATATATGTAAATTTGGGCAGCAGGTTCTCATTGATGCATGTTTGTGTAAAAATGACAGCATAACGTATCAAATAGTATATACTAGTATACTAGTATCAAACTTATCGTCTACTACCAAACACCTAGCACATCAAGACTAGTCATGGTCAACAACGCATCACGCGACAACAGTGATCTCAAGGCGACCAACGTCATTTATGAGTTTCGATGCCCCATTGGCGACTGCGCGCGCCGACCAAACAACTCATATATTGGCCACACCACTACGACCTTGTCACGACGCATCACTATGCACCTTCAAAATGGTGCCCCCGAAAAACACGCCCGATTAGAACACGGCAGCAAACTCACTCGCAGCATGATGGTTAACAATACCAGCATCATAGCTAGATGTCCCAAAAAACATAAGCTTGCGATTCTTGAAGCCGTCTTCATCAGGGATAGAGACCCAGCTATCAACCGTCAAATGAACATGACGGGTACTCTGTCCTTATACGATGGAAGACCCTTGGCGCCCAGCCAGATAGATAGCACTTAGGTTTTAGACTTGTGTGCTAGTTGATTATGTGTAGACCGAATGCATGCGAAACTGTCATTGAAACATGTGTGGCTTGTCTGATGATTGTAACTGAATGTAACTGAACCGATGATTGTAACCGAATGATGTAAATGAACGTTTGTGTTATGCGAAATGTGTGTCGGTGTATAATGAATATGTACTCGTACGTAGTGTCCGTATATTTGCGCTGAAAATGTAAACGCGAGAGGTGCCATTGCAATGATCATGTGCGTTTGTACTTTAAAGTGCTACATCAAATTGAATTAGATCCGTGTCAATAGGAAACTCATTCCTTGCGATTTTCGAGACGAGACGAATGTTATATTTGGTGTTATTGTGTCTGTTTTGTATGTCTGAAGATGTTAATGGTGATATTAACGAAACGTTACCCGACAATATAGGCACAATTTTACATGGATTTGAAGCAGATGGCAAGAAGATCGTACGAAGTTTAGAGAACTTGGCAAAAAAGCAAACAAACGCCCGTTATGCTGTCATTTTTACACAAACATGCATCAATGAGAACCTGCTGCCCAAATTTACACATTTTAGACTGAATGATCAGGCAGTGCAGCAAAGTGAAGAGGCGTTAAGCTTCAGAAAACATCTTCTAAAAGAAGAGGCCAAGAAGAAGAAAAAGGTTCTTGAAGAAATCAGCGAGAAGATTGCTGATGTGTCGAGATCTTATCAAGAGCTGCCAATTTCGAATGATCTACGACAGAAAACTGATAGTGCTCTGCAGGAGCTGACTGAAACCCATGAGCGTGTTGTCAAGACAAGGATCCAGAGGAAGCTATCGTCGTTATATGGTGGTGACATCACTCTACCTGAACAACGGGACAGCTATGTCAACTTGTCATCATACGTACTCACGCAAGACCAAAAGGATTTTCTCAATTTGGGTCTCAACTGTCGTCTCTACCCGAAGCAAAGCCAGCAAGAAAAGAAGGCTGAAGTCGAGCTACTCTACGAGCAGATCTGTGATCGTCACAGAGATGGGAATATTGAGGTCAACCCAGACATACAGGAGCAGCTCTCGGCAGAGAGCACCAAAACCAGAGGCACCAACAGAAGCGGCATCCTCACTCCCAGACTCCGTCAGGCTGCCAAGCAACTCAAGGACAACCCGGACATCATCATCAGGAGAGCAGATAAGTCGTCTACTTTCGTCATCCTAAACCGCGCTGACTACCTTGAAAAAACTGACGCTATCCTGAGTGACACGTCGAAGTTCCAGAGACTGCGAAGAAACCCAATCGAGAAGCAAAAGAGGGACTTAAATGCACTGATCGACGCTGCTAATGCGGAGGTCGATGGTGTTAAATTCCGCAAACTATCCGGTGAGTTCAGTCCTGGGTATTTTTACGGGAACCCGAAAACGCACAAGGCGGGCGCACCTATTAGACCCATTATATCGCAGATTCCCACCCCTGCGTATGAGGTTGCTAAGCAGTTAAACTCGATAATTTCGCCCTATGTACCTAAAAGATTCTCATTGAAGTCATCTGATGAATTCATCCAGATCCTGAAAGTGAAAGAAAGGCAGGGCACTCTAGCCTCTTTGGACGCCTCGTCGCTGTTTACCAATGTACCGGTCGACACGACAATCGAGATCATACTGAGCAATGTTTACGAACATGATTCCATCCCAGCGCCCCGGCTCCCTCGAGCCGTCCTCAAACGCATGCTCGAAATCTGCACCATGGAAACGGCTTTCCGCTGCCCACAGGGAAACATGTACCGTCAAATTGATGGGGTCGCGATGGGCTCGCCACTAGGGGTACTTTTCGCTGAATCGTACATGGCGCACGTGGAGTCCATTGCACTTGATAGCCTAGATGTGAAGCCGTACACGTACTGCAGATACATAGACGATATCTTCGTGGATGTCCAAAGTGATGAACAACTGCTCGCTGTCAAAACTGCCCTCGAGGAACACTCTGTTCTTCGATTCACGGTAGAGTCGTCCATCGACCATAAGTTACCGTTCCTTGATGTAGAAATAGACGCTACCCACGGCCCATTTACCACGACAGTACATAGGAAACCCACTGATACTGGTCACTGCCTGAACGGCGATAGCGAATGTCCTGACAAATATAAGGACAGCGTCATTAGGTCATACATCAACCGCGCAATCAAACACTGCTCGTCATGGCCTCTTTTACACCAGGAGCTTCAGCGAATCAAACAGATTCTAGTCAACAACAAGTACACTGTTACTGACATCGACATTCACATCAGACGTCAACTACACAAACACCTCTCTCGTCCCGCAGTCACACCTAGCAGCGACACCCAAACAGTAAAACTCTTCTTCAAAGGGCACATGTCATCTGCGTACAAGAAGGACGAGAAGGTCATCCGGAACATCATACATCGTAACTGTGCTCCGGTCGCGCCTTATACTAGTATCAAACTTATCGTCTACTACCAAACACCTAGCACATCAAGACTAGTCATGGTCAACAACGCATCACGCGACAACAGTGATCTCAAGGCGACCAACGTCATTTATGAGTTTCGATGCCCCATTGGCGACTGCGCGCGCCGACCAAACAACTCATACTGCTCATACCTATTGGCCACACCACTACGACCTTGTCACGACGCATCACTATGCACCTTCAAAATGGTGCCCCCGAAAAACACGTCCGATTAGAACACGGCAGCAAACTCACTCGCAGCATGATGGTTAACAATACCAGCATCATAGCTAGATGTCCCAAAAAACATAAGCTTGCGATTCTTGAAGCCGTCTTCATCAGGGATAGAGACCCAGCTATCAACCGTCAAATGAACATGACGGGTACTCTGTCCTTATACGATGGAAGACCCTTGGCGCCCAGATAGATAGCACTTAGGTTTTAGACTTGTGTGCTAGTTGATTATGTGTAGACCGAATGCATGCGAAACTGTCATTGAAACATGTGTGGCTTGTCTGATGATTGTAACTGAATGTAACTGAACCGATGATTGTAACCGAATGATGTAACTGAATGTTTGTGTTATGCGAAATGTGTGTCGGTGTATAATGAATATGTACGTAGAGTGTCCGTATATTTGCGCTGAAAATGTAAACGCGAGAGGTGCCATTGCAATGATCATGTGCGTTTGTACTTTTAAGTGTTACATCAAATTGAATTAGATCCGTGTCAATAGGAAACTCATTCCTTGCGATTTTCGAGACGAGACGAATGTTATATTTGGTGTTATTGTGTCTGTTTTGTATGTCTGAAGATGTTAATGGTGATATTAACGAAACGTTACCCGACAATATAGGCACAATTTTACATGAATTTGAAGCAGATGGCAAGAAGATCGTACGAAGACGAAGTTTAGAGAACTTGGCAAAAAAGCAAACAAACGCCCGTTATGCTGTCATTTTTACACAAACATGCATATATATATATATATATATATATATATATATATATATATATATATATATATATATATATATATATATATATATATATATATATATATATGTACATATATATATGCTAATTACATATAGCAATTTCTAGGCTAGATTTCTTACAAGGTTGGGTTGCTGGGAAACACTTTAAATTTAGCTTTATTCTAATTTTATGATTTGAGGCTCAATACTCTTCCGAAATACGGAATGCTGTTGCTGGCTGTTTGCGGCAAACGGTTAGCATTTGTCTTCGAACTATACTGGATCTGTCAGCGATAATGTATGGGCTGTCTATTGCGCAACACAGAAAGTCTGTTGAGATTGCCGCGGCAGCCCGACGGCGCCACCCCGTCAATATGGCTCTCCGCCAGCTGCACCAGCTGCTCCTCAGGCCACTGTCCCCTCCCAGGATCTGTTTTCCGGTAAACATTTGTCCCAGTTCAGCGCGCCACAGCCCTTTGGTATGACAAAGTGAATGGGTCCGGCGGGGGCGTGGGAAGATGGGGAATCAATAAACACGCAGAACCGAGAGACTCCTCGGCCGCCACTGCGAGCTTTGAACTGTAGAAATGTACCTTTTATATCACTTCAGAAACGTTTTGAAATTTGTGTAATATTGTCAGTTCCTTTCTTGTTGTTTTATTTATGCAATGCTTAGCCCTCGCCCGCACATGGGGGGGGGGGGGGGTGGTTGCCACCCCCCCCAGGCAGTCTTTCTGCTCTGCACTTAACATTTTTAGAGCTAGAAAGCTGATTTTTCGTATAGCTGCTCGTCTATCCTTTCTTTATGTCCACTGAAAATTTCAAGTTTCTGTGATTTTTGGTTTCGGAGATATGACCTTGTTTTTCAGGTCATGTCATGACCCAAATGGCCAATTCTCAACATCTTGCGTTTGCCATGGGCCTTGTGAGCTTTTGACACCCGGATTTCGGCCTTTTTTGCCAGTCTTACCTCCCACCTATCATGGAACATGTTGTTCGACGATGTACAGGGGTCAAGGTCAGGGTCAAGGTCAACCTAGGTCATCTAAGATAATTGCGTTTTAGGCAAGCTGAATTTACTTTTTGTGAAGTTTTTTGACTGTATTTTTGGTAAAAGCTTCTCAGATCATGATTTCATGTGATATGGACCCAAAAACAATCGGTGCACACATCAGTATACACACAGACACACACAGACATACAAACACATGTAATTGACCTTGACCTAACTTGACCTGAAATGACCTCAGCAGCAAAATTCTGGTCGGATAGTGTGACAAAGAGGTTCTAGCTGGCTTGGCACCAGAAAACAGTATCGTCATCGGTATTTGATAAGCAGCGCACTTGATATCCAACGGTGACCCAAAACAGCAACATTTTTTAGTTTGACCTGACCTGGAAGGTCAATGACTGACCTGAGAAGGTAAAACTGGGTATCATTGGATTCGTCTCTTCCCAAAGAATCTTTTTGGTCTTTACTGCTAAGCTCTATCTCCAACAGGAACGAAATGGCGCGGGGGGGGGGGCAACCACCCCCCCCCCCCCCATGTGCGTTCTAGGATGGGAAAATGGCATGTGCGGGCGAGGGTTAATCAATATCTGTTGTCTGTAATGATAGAATAAGTTCAACCGTTTATTATGTCGTGTTTTCTGTTCAATTTAGTCCAACATTTAAATCTTTTTAAAGAAATGTTGCCATATGAGTTTTCATTCACAAGGAACCACTCGATCCACAACCACTCGAAAAGAGCCAGAGCGTCTTTTCCACCAGCAGTTTTCACGGGTAGCTCAAATTATTCTTTCTCAAACGATACTAGCTCAAATGATTTTGGTTTTTGACCGGCTCTAACACCCACGACAATGCCTCGATCAACTGACCCCACATGAGCCCTTTAGGCGCCATTTTCAGCTGATAAGCCGTCGTTCAGCTGGCCATGTGACCCAAATGTGACCCCTCCCGAACATCGCACGCCATTTCGCTGCGCGGCTGTAAAGTTCCGCGGATCGATCGCCTACTGTAAGTACTGGCGGGGTCAACACTCCGCACTGGATGTCAAACGGCCGGATTAGACTGACGCTGCCCACACAGGCGCCTTGCCAAAGTCTCAGCGGAGCAGCATGACGCAGCTCTGCTCGCGTGCTCACCAGCTCAGTCGATGTTTGTAAAACGCCGCTAAAACAGTCGCCCCCGGTCAGGTGCTGCCGTTCAGTGGGTGGAGGGGGGGGGGGGGGCGTCGCGACCGACGTTGCGTCAGTGTTCTCCGGGAGGTGCGTTTCGTCAGCTCGTTGACGCAGCCAGGACGGAATAATACCTTCGTCGAGAGGAATAGGCGTCAGCTGTAGCCTGGGACGAAGATGGAGTGGCCTTCAGGAAGGACGGATGTCATCGAAGGGGGTCTGAACGCGTCTGAGATAGCTGTGTCAGCGTTTGGCTGGGTTAAATGGGGGAAGGGCTGGTCTGGTTTTCTCAATACAACAATGCGACGGGCAAGTTTACGTCTATGATTTATGATGATGCTAGGCCAGTGAAAACCGGCAGATTGCGGTAAAGTTAAATCATGCTGAACGTGAGAATGCAGTGAACGCGAATGCCGTTGGGTGGGGGACCGTTTCATTCTCACACAGTGTGGAACGGAGACCCGCATTTGACCCGCAACAGCATAGCAGTACCGTACCGAGAACTAGAAACCTGCGCAGTACCTAATCCTCGCCTGATTAGGGTAAGCTCCATCTATATACTATATAGCATTGCGCTTTTTCTCTCTCTCTCTCTCTCTCTCTCTCTCTCTCTCTCTCTCTCTCTCTCTCTCTCTCTCTCTCTCTCTCTCTCTCTCTCTCTATCTCTCTCTCACAAAAAGCGGGACCTCTTCGAAGTTGCATGTAGCACGATCAACAAAACAAGCCCACAAGGATACAGCAAACGGGTCGTTTAAATAAAATGCTATCCGGCGCAATGCATAGGTACTATAGTAGGATTGTCTTTCTTTAGGGTTTAGGGAACAAAACAAACAACAATACATTAGCACGTATGCATCGGTTCCTCCGTGGGAGATTCCAATCATCTGTGGTCAGAAAAAAAAACTGAGTTGGCCCATTGCACGCCTTCACGTGCCGTTGTGCTAAACACCGCGGCAGACGAGGTTCGCTCTGCCAATGCTTCGCAGCTCGGGCAGAAGGAACACAGCCGTTCCATGTTTACCACAGCTGACGTAACGCCTTTGGCGCGGAAGTCGGGTATGGGTCTCGTGAACGATCGTGTTGTGTAGTGTTGTTTGCTGATTTTGTCATCGGTTTAAAATAGATAAGCACGTGATGTCTTTTTTCCAGCACGAGACTGGTGATGCCCTTCCCGCGGCTGTTTGGGCCCGCGCTGCGATGTGTCGGTGGAACTACCGTGTGTGGCGTAGCTCCGTGGTTAAGGAGCCGACGCCTGGGAGTAGGAACCGTGTGCGGATAGGTGCGGATGATAGGTGTGTACATCGATGTGAGCGTGTGATGTGAGCTTGCGCTGTGACATTTTCGCTGCCAAGGTGTTACCTGCCGTCTGCGCTTTATCGTGTCCGGGGTCCGGGGTTTTGAAGCGCAGCGTCGGATATCACCACGAACGCCATGAATGTGTCACGTTATGATATACGGATGAATAACGTGAGAGTATAAAAAACGAGACTGGTGATGGCGATTTCAGCCTATACCTGAGCAATGAGCATTGAGCATGGCATCGCTGTCGAAACGACTGCTTGGTGGCAAATAAATGACAACAGTGGCCGGAGAAATAACTTATTTCGCAAGATGGATGCAATATTTACATATGACTAGTCGGTTTGCTTTGATGAGCAACCACCAATGATTCAGGCTAGTTGAAAACGTAGAATGTTGGCAAAGCAGCCACGGCTTATGTTGCAAAATATTTTAGAAGCTCCCTGTAACACGCTCGGTGATCAGACAGGAGTCAAAACAACACAACTTCCTCTCTCGTGCTGACAGGGCGCAGAGTACCTACGTCGCTTCACCAAACCAGGCATTAACCCTCGCCCGCACATGGGGGCCGGGGGGATGCCACCCCCAGGTAGTCTTTCTGACTGCATATTTAGAGCTAGAAGCCTGATTTTTCGTATAGGTGCTCCTCTATCCTATCTTGATGTCTTCTGAAAATTTCAAGTTTCTGTGGTTTTTGGTTTCGGAGATATGACCTAGGTCATGTCATGACCCAAATGACTCTCAACATCTTGCGTTGGCTATGGGCCTTATGAGCTTTTGACACCTTGATTTCGGCCTTTTTTGCCAGTCTTACCTCCCACCTATCGTGGAACATGTTGTTCGACGATGTAGAGAGGTCAAGGTCAGGGTGAAGGTCATCCTAGGTCATCTAAAATAATTGCTTTTTAGGCAAGCTGAATTTACTTTTCGTGAAGTGTTTTGACTGCATTTTTGGTAAAAGCTTCTCAGATCATGATTTCATGTAATATGGACACATAAACAATCGGTGTACACATCAGCATACACACAGACACCAGACATACAAACACACATCATTGACCTTGACTGAACTTGACCTGAAATGACCTCAGCAGCAAAAACCTGGTCGGGTAGTGTGACAAAGAGGTTCTAGCTGGCTTGGCACCAGAAAACGGCATTGTCATCGGTATATGATAAGCAGCGCACTTGATATCCAACGGTGACCCAAAATAGCAACATTTTTTAGTTTGACCTGACCTGGAAGATCAATGACTAACCTGAGAAGGTAAAACTGGGTATCATTGGATTCGTCTCCTCCCAAAGAATCTTTTTGATCTTTACCGCGAAGCTCTATCTCCAACAGGAACGAAATGGCGCGAGGGGTGGCAACCATCCCCCATGTGCGTTCTAGGAAGGGAAAATGGCATGTGCGGGCGAGGGTTAATACACGTACATGTATGCCTGGGCTGTGCAAAAAGGAACTCGCTAACATTTTTCGTTTTGTGTTAAACAAGCCCAACTGCAGGAACTTTCACCGTTTTCGCGCTTATTTATTTCATGAAAAATATTTTACAGCATATTAATATGGTCCGTGCGATCGGTGCAAACTACAGCTTTGTGATATATGATATATCCTACGTAATTCCAGCAAAAATCCATTATATGCTAATTTTCTACATTTGTTAAATTAATGGTGAGCTGCCACCTGTTTTCCCACCATCAACATACGCTCCTATAGCACCTTTATTCATTTATTTATTTATTTATTTATTTATTTATTTATTTATTTATTTATTTATTTATTTATTCATTCATTCATTCATTCATTCATTCATTCATTCATTCATTCATTCATTCATTCATTCATTCATTCATTCATTCAGTCAGTCAGTCAGTCAGTCAGTCAGTCAGTCAGTCAGTCAGTCAGTCAGTCAGTCAGTTAGTCAGTCAGTCAGTCAGTGCATTCGTAATATGCATTAGTCATTGGCCTTTGGTTTCGGCATCACTGATAGCATCGCATCCCAAATGGTACCTACATACATACCTCCGCTCATGTCCTATTCATTCAAACTCCAGCGAGCTGGGTTTCCGCCGGAACTGGAACAGCACCACGGTTAACAAGGGAAAGGTGGGGGGGGGGGGGGAGGTGGGGATGCTGCACTAACTACATCGATGGCAGTCAGCACACAGGCATGATGTATTGTCATTGAATATTGAATGTGCAGGTTGAAACTGCGTTTTACAAATAGAGGTCGAGGATAAGTGATGTTAAACAGGATTGATGAATAGAAACGTTCCAACTCTAATCACATACAATTTTTAGAATGAATAGTTTATAAGAGAATTTGTGTCCTTAAATAATCTTGACATGATTTTTCGTAGCAATGGCATGAGAAATGCGGTAATTCATGAGTAGGTAGGCAAGTAAGTATGTAAGTATATTAACCCGGCAGTTGCTGGGGTATTTCGCCACCCACCGTTTGCTGGGGGGGGGGGGCGTTCCATTTCCATTCCAGAATGTTTATTGCGCATCGACAACCTATAAGTAAAACGATCGGAAAATGAACATGAATAACAGAGATAAAGCAAAATAATATAAGAGTGGTGCAAAAGCACATTGTGCTTGACTCTAGGCACCACCTCTTGTAACATAATCAGATAGACATCATAAACATAAAACAACATGAACATAGCCTTCAGATCAACGTCGAATATAACATAAACATACAACGTAATGAAGGTAACGTAGCGTAATGAAACAAAACTACCACTGCCGCCGCCACGACAGGCCACCGACCCAACCCACGCTGACGTCACTCAGCCCACCGGGGACGCCGCCCACAAAACTGAATGAGGTAGGTAAATTAATAGGTAAATCTGTGCGAACGAAGCAAGAAATTTTGGAAATGCTGAGCCACCGCACGACAGTCCCGGCCGCCAAGATCGTCGCCATGCAAAAGAATACGTAATAACCGTGTAGTTGACAGTTGACCCAAATTTTCGCCAAAAATTTGCAACATGTCCCGGTAAAGTTCATCTCTCTGCAAATTATAGTTGGGACACGCGAGAATGAAATGATGAATATTTTCTGTTTCAAAACCACAAGCACATTCAGGTGTATCGTGCCTTTGTATTTGAAATAAATGTGAATTTAGTTGTGACATTTGCATTCGTAGCCTAGAATGAAAAATATTGCCCATTTTGGTGCCAATTTTGTAAAAGGGAGAAGGCCCAGGCACCCCCAGTCGCCTCGAGATCTCTCGTTGAAAGGAACGAGGAGGAAGGGATCGGATGGATTCGGGAAGCTGGTTCCAGGATTTGCCTGTTGAAAGGAAAAAGGACTTCTGGAAGGATGTGGTTCGGTTGGGAGGCATGGTGTGTGTGTTGGAGTTCCGTAGTGTTCTGCCGGTGTTTTCTGCACGTGTTTCTGGCATGATCATCGTGATATAATTTGGCGTTTGGTGTCTTGGATTAGTGAATGTATGATATAAAGTGAGTTTGTGTATTTGTCGTCTTACAGTCAGTTTGTCCCAGCCCAAGTCTTGTAGAAGTTTTTCGGTTGACGTCCTGAACATAGCCCCCGTCACAAGTCTCCCTGCTCTGTTTTGTAGCGTGTCAAGTCGGGCAGCGTCTTGTATTGTTATGTGTCCGTCATATATTGTGTCACAGTAGTCAAAGTAAGGTCTTATGTACGTCTTGTAAATTTGGTCGAGAATGGGCCTTGGTATGTAACGTGCAATGGAGTAGAGTGGACTGAGTGATTTGTGTACCTTGTTGCATATTGCATTGACGTGTTGGTGGAAGCGTAGGTCCTTAGAAAGTGTCAAGCCAAGGTGAGTATGAGTTTCATGAATGGGTACGTTTGCGCCCTCGAAAGTGAGCTTTGGTGGTGTGTACTGATGTCTGTGTGAAAATGTTTGTTGGATGGTCTTCGTAGCGTTGAATGTAATTGCCCATTCTCGACCATATTTGTGGATTTCGTTGAGGTCTTGTTGTAGTGATAGCTGTACGGCGTCAATGTCTGCTGTCGTGTGCGAGGCGTAGATAGATGTGTCGTCAGCGAAAAAGAGAATGTCATTCTTTATTCGTCTTGAAAGTCCGTCGAGATACATAAGTGCCAGCAAAGGCCCGAGTACGGATCCCTGCGGGCAGCCCGCATTTATTGTTTTAGTGGCCGAGAATGTGCTGTTGATCCGTACTCGGTGTGTCCTGTCACAAAGATATGATTTTAACCAGTCGAAAAGTGAGTCAGTAATTCCGAAGTCGTGCTTACTCTTGTACAACAGTCCGTCATGCCAGATCTTGTCAAAGTATTTAGAAATGTCGAGGTAGATAGCAGTAAAGTCTCGTCCCATGTCCAGTGATTTGTACAAGTTGTGAGTCAGGTATAAAAGCTGTTGTTCTGTACTGTGGTTACGCCGGTACCCACTCTGCTTGTCGGTCAAAAGAGAATGATTCAGTAAATGGGAATATATACCCTTGAAGACAATTTTTTCGAAGACTTTAGATAACGATGAAAGTATACTGATGGGACGGTAACAAGTGTAGTCAGAAGGTGATCCCTTGTTTTTGAAAATTGGTTTTACGTTTGCTTCTTTAAATTTCGATGGATAAATTCCCTGACTTAGTGACATGTTAAAAAGTTTGGACAATGGTTCTGCGATGATGAGGGCGGTTAACTTGATAAGTTTTACTGGAATTTCATCGGGGCCCGTTGCGTTAAACGCCCCCAGCCGATAACTCGAGAACCAATAGGCGCAGCGAAACGCACGAGGCGGCAAACGAAATAACGCGACGAGACGCTTCAAATGAGTACTTTAAAGTTGAATTTTGAGGTCACAGGTCGGGTCAAGGTCAGGTCAAACACCTGAAATCGGGCTTTCAGTAGCATGAAT